GCCTAGCTTACAGCAACCTCAAATTCCTGGGCTCAAGCGATCCTACTGCCTCAGCCTCCCGAGTAGCTGGGACTACAGGCATGAGCCACCATGCCTGGCTAATTTTTTCTATATATATATTTTTAGTTGTCCAGATAATTTCTTTCTATTTTTAGTAGAGATGGGGGTCTCGCTCTTGCTCAGGCTGATCTTGAACTCCCGACCTTCAGCGATCCACCCGCCTCGGCCTCCCAGAGTGCTAGGATTACAGGTGTGAGCCACCATGCCCGGCCTGTCCTATTCTTATATATATGCTTGTCTCATTCATGCTGCTATACCTTCAAGAAAACTGGAGGGGCCGTGCATGGTGGCTCATGCCTGTAATCTTAGCATTCTGGGAGGCCAAGGCAGAGGACTGCTTGAGCTCAGGAGTTCGAGACCAGCCTGAGCAAGAACGAGACCCTATCTTTACTAAAAATAGAAAAAATTAGCTGGGCATGGTGGTGCATACCTGTAGTCTCAGCTGGGGAGGCTGAAGCAGGAGGATCACTTGAGCCCAGGAGTTTTGAGGTTACAGTGGGGTATGATAATGCCATGACACTCTAGCCCAGGTGACAGAGTGAGACTCTGTCTCAAAAAAAAAAAAAAAAAAAAAAAAAAAAAAAAAAAAAAAAAAAAGGGAAAAAAAAAAAAAAAAAAAAAAGAAAAGAGAACTGGAAGAAAAAAAAGACAGTAGAAGGAATGAAAGTTTCCCAGTAAGCAGTGAAGGAAAGACCATAGAAAAGAAGAAAAAACCATAAAAAAGGAAACACCCTGGAGTAGAAATGTATGAGTGTGTGTGTGTGTGTGTGTGTGTGTGTGTGTGTGTGTGTTAGATGTAGTTTGGAGGAGGTGAGAAAGCAGAGTTGTGATCAGAGAATTGAGGAGAAAATGAGCCAGTGGATCCTGCTCTAGTGTTACCTGAAACCTAGAGGAAGAGCTCAGAGAAACTAGGACATCGCTTTTTATTAATATCTATAAACCTCTTTTGCCCCAAGCAGCATGGATTGCATTAGAGAATAGGCTATTTCCAATGTTCATTTCTTCTGTATAATGAAATAGAGGAAACAACCTCAAATTCTAGTAGAGTAGCCTCTAGATACAGGGAGGCCTTAGTTAAAGGTAATTTACCAACAAGCTGTTTTCTTCACAAGTCATCAATTTTTGTCTTTTTTACAATAAAATTTGCAAATGTCCTGCTCTTATCATATTATTCTGTACTCACAGATCTTATTTTGCAATAAGTTAATCTTATTGGTTTTCAGTGTTTAAAATGGCACCAAGATAACTTAGAAAATGCTGCATAGATAAGTATTAGAATTTGGATTCTGAGCCTAAACTGCACAGAACTAACTCTGTGTGAATTGTAAATAATCTGGATATTGCCTAAGTAATTTAATTTATTTGGGGCCCAAATATCAGTCAGGGATGCTCATTCACAAGAGTTCATATTGTAGCATCACTCTCACACGGAAGTCATTTTGGACAATATAGCAGAACTATCAAGCCTTTCAATTCCTCTTTCTTCTCTCTCCCAGGATTGAGGATAAATACCAGGTAATCTCTCTCCAGACTCTCTTGTAACTAGAGGTGGTCGTGTGACACAGCTTCAGGCAATAAGATGTATAAGGAAGTCTTTTGGGGAGCTTCTTGCAAAAATATCCTTTCTTTCAAAAAAGAAAGACATACTACAGCCATTAAAAACTTTAATTTTGCCCCCTTCCTTCCTGCCATTCAAGGCAGCAGTAGGAGGATGTGATAATTGGAACTGCAGCAGTAATCTTGAGACTGAAGCAGGAAGCTGGAGGGGGAAAGCCAATGTGTTCAGGATGGTAGAATAGAAAAGAAGGAAAGAACTTAGATTCTCGAGAACATTGTTGGGACACTGAACCAACATTGGGATTCTCCTCCAGACTTGTTGGTAAAAATAAATATCTTCTGATTTAAACCACTGCTAGTTGGGTTTTCTCCTATAAGTTTTATATTTTGCAAACAGTCAACACAGTCCCCAAGATTACTCATGGAGCCCGTCCTCCCATTCACATGCGATTGCCTGGAGCCAGAAGCATGAAGGATGGAAATATGGAGGATAGTACAGTTTTATACAATGCCTGGACTCAGAAACAAGGTATGACCCCCACTGTAAAGAGAGGTGGGAGGCAGATTCAGAGGGGCTTTTTTCCTGGGGGGCTTTGTGAACCCTGGGGTTTAAACACCTTTGGTAATTGCTGCTTTGGTAGCCTGGACAGTGGCTTGAGGGCAGCAGGCATCACCGAGACAGGCAGAGCAGATCAGGAGCAGACTTTCTCCTGAGCACACGTGTCACTTCCTGAGGACTCGCAGGAGTAATGGGAAGACATGAAGAAGAGGGGCCTCAGGTCCTGTGCTAGCACATGATTTCTAAGGCAAAGTTTCACCCTTGTGGGATGGAGATGGGAACCTGCACCTTCAATTTCTTATGGGACAATGACTTTAAAGTAATAAAATTTCCAGACACACAGGTGGGAGACTGAAGAAGTCTGTCTACCATCACAGCTCTTTGTATACTGGCCTCATTACTCCCTTGAGACTGAGAATTTCTTGAAAGAAGGGACCACTTACTCATTTTTGCATTCCTTGCCATTTCTAGCCTAGAGCAGGTGTTCTGCAAAGTTTTGTTAAATTGAATTGGAAAAAGAGAGCACAGGGCATTCTGGCATTGAATTGTACTCTGAAACACCTACTTCTATGTATGTAAAAACCAATTTTAAAATAGTAGCATTAATTTTTTTTTTTTTGCTTGGACATGCTTTTAGAATCAAATCTAAACTTCTTAATTGGTGCTTTAAGACCACAATTGTTCTCTCCTTTAAAAAAATTATTTGAAGTCTTTACTTGTGTGAGGGATTGTGCTAGACACTTTCGTATATGTTGCTATGTTTATTTAGTTACTTTCCATGCCCTTATCAATAGAACTGGTCATTATTTTTACTTAATCATCTATGCTTCAATATTTAATTTATTAATGTTTATTACTATTTTAATACTTGGTACATTTGTTCCTCATAATATCCCACCAGGTGGGTATTTTACTCTCTTGTTACAGATGAGAAAGCTGAAACTCTGACGGGGAAAGAGACTCATGCGATTCCTAGGGTACATACTAGGAAGGAAGCTAGAATGTTTTCTGACTCCAGGCACAATGCTTTTTCTTTTTCCACAGCTTCATCTATTAATATTTCTCCTCTACGTTCTATAACCCTTGTCAACTTAAGTATCTTTATTTCTTTAGTTACTAATCACTCCACCCCTTTCACTCTCAAAGGAACTCACCATTTGCAAATTGACCAAGGGGTTGACATATAAAAAATAAATTAAAAAAGGAAGTCACCATAATTTTTCTTTTTATGTTCAAAGTGAGGTTCGTGGTAGAGATTCATGGATGGGTGGAATGTTGGGATGGAGGGAATACAGAGAGTTGGAGAGATTCACTAATCTGCAGGTTTGAGAAATTCTGAGTTGTAAGAATGTTTTGTAGAGAAACTACATGTTTTATAAAGTCTGCCATTAAATGCCTTTAAGTGCTTTGTTTCTTTCCTGACTGCCTCTTTGTAAAGTTGTTTTAATAAACACACATGACTGAATGGGTTATTTAAAACTTGTACTTATCATCACGGTATTCTGGATGGCGGTGTTACGAATGTTAAGAGTGTTGTGCATAGATGTCAGGGGTCCAGTCCCTTTGAATTCTTATTGTTTACCTGCATTAGTCCTTGGCTATTCAGAACCTAGTCTTTGGATCACTGGCATCACCATCTCATGGGACTTGTGAGAAATGAACTTTACCAAGTTCCACCAGAGACCTATTGAATCAGAAACTTCATTTGATTTACAAGGTCTCTTGTGGTTCCTAAGCACATTAAAGTTTAATGTAGTTAATCTAGAGTAGCTTTTGCAGCAATTTTGGCCTGTTTTCCTGGAATCGTACTTTTGCTTTGCTTAAAATACATGCATACACACATTTGAAATTAATTCTTGATTATTTTGGTGAGGTTATTCTAACATGTGTATTATTCATCAGACCCTTTTCTGGTTGCCAGTGGACTTTGGGAATGTCACTCAATTATTTAAATCAGTTACCTCTAATTCTCCTAAAAATCTTTTGTATATTTCTTTGAAGGCAAGAACCATGTTTTATTTAAACCTTTGTGTCTACACAGTTCCTTGTATGCAAATGCTCAATACGTTGAAAGCTGAGTTAATTATGAATAACTGATGGAATGAATGCATACATGGAAGAGGAGGAATCTAGACAGTAAATTCCTTGAAGACTGGGACAATGTCTTATTCATCCTTGAATTGCTAATCATTGCAGAATAGCTATCAGTGATACTTCGTGGTTAATTTGTAGTTGTTAGATGAGAAGAGATTGCCTATTTATTTCTGGCATAAGACTCCAGGGAATAAAAACGGAAGAAAATGAAATAAAATGGACTACTATGAACAGTGCTAGGCACTTTCACCATTTTTACCTTAGCTGAGGTAAAACATCACAACATCCTGTGAACTTGGTATTATTTTACAGAGGTGGAAACTAAGTTCTGAAATTTAAGCACCTCGTCCATGTCCACACAGCTAGTGTTAGAGCCTGACAATTCTTGGGCATAATTTGCCGTATCATATCAACTTGTGCGCAGCTCTGTTTCTGCAGAGATTGAGAGATGGAGGAAGAATGATCCTTTACGTAGTAAAACACACAGCTCTCTGGGTTTTCTTTGTGCATCTGAGGGTCTGTGGCTCTGGAAGAAAGAGCTTCAATTCTCGCCTTTTAGTCATAGACAAGGCAGGAACAATGGAATGAAAAGCTACCTCCCCCCCGGGTCTTTTTCCGCCGGCGGAACACAGGTGCTGGGGCCTTCAAGCGCGGAGGGGACCAGAGAGGAACGGACACACGGCCCGGCCGTTGCCTGGTAACGCCCGCTGGAGGAGTCCCCGCATAATAAGGTCCCGGAGAAGTGTCACTGGCCCTTAGTGGGACCTGGCAGCCCGTTCTTTCCGCGCCGGCGGCCTGTCTCCGCGGCTCGGCGGGCTAGGGCAGGGGAAATGTTGCAGGAGGAGTCGGATATCTCTCTCATTATTGCCCAGATAGTCCAAAAGCTCAAGGGCTCCAATTTGTACGCTCAGCTGGAACGGCAGGCCTGGGTAAGTGAGGCCGGGTGGGAAGGGATGGAGACGGGCGGTGCCGCGGTGAGGTCTCATCCGCTTCTACACCCTCCTAACCCAAGGCAGAGCTCGCCTCTGATGTCTCCGGCTCCACTCTGGTTCTCAAAAATACTAGAGTCCTCTGGTGCAAGCAATGCTTGCTCAGCCCCAGGCGTAGGATATAGATTTTTAAAGAAGGGTGGGGCGCATCACACCTTTCTTCAGGCCAGAGAGACGCTGAGTTTACTCATTCATTTATCTGTTCTTGTGGTCATAGATACAAGAATCTGATTTTTTAAGCAGCTGGACTTACTGAAGGTAGCTTGGACCACACTTTCCCTCAATTTTTCCATCTTGTGGGTGAGAGGACTTGGTCCCCAGGTATCTTTCTGCTTTCCCGTCCATGTTTCATTTTCTTGCACTTTACCCTCCCTGCAATGATTACTTCTCTATCCACCTACCCAGCATTTATTGGGTATTTTATAACGTGCTAGGCACTGAGGATGCACAGATTGATCAAGAGAACTTTGCCTTTTTTGTGAATGTCATATAAATGGAATCATAAGTACGTAAATTTCTGTGCCTCCTTTCTGTCATTTAACATAATGCTTTTGGGATTCATCCATGTTGTTGGCATTTCAGTAGTTCTGTTCTTTTTTATTGCTGAGTAATATTTCATTGTTTGAATGTATTATGGTTTGTTTATCCTTAATTGTGTGAAGGACACTTGGGTTGTCTTCTGGTTTTAGAGATTATGAGTAAAGCTGATATATACATTCTGGTATAGGTTTTTTGCTTGGATATTTGTGTTCTTATTTTCTTGGATTGGAATTGCTGAGTTATGTGGTAAGTATAATGTTTAATTCTATAAGAAACTGCCTAACTTTTCCAAAGTGGCTGTACCATTTTACATTCTCACCAACAATTATGAGACTTCCAGTTGTTCTGCATCCTTGACAGCACTTGATGTTGCCAGTTTTTAATTTATTTTTATTAATTAATTACACCCCTATAGTAGGAGCATAGTGTTATCTCATTGTAGCTTTAATTGCATTTCCCTAATGACTAATGATATTAAACATTTTCTCATGTGCATTTTCTCATCTTCTTTGGTGAAGTAGTCTGTTCAAATCTTTTGCCCATTTAAAAAATGTGTCGTTTGTATTTTTATTATTGAGTTGTAAGGATTCTTTATATATGATACAAGTCTTTATCAGATATGAATCTTGCAAATATTTTCTCCCAGTCTGTGGCTTATCTTTTCATTTTCTTAACTGGATCTTTCAAAGAGCAAAAATGTTTAATTTTGGTGATATAAGTTTTTATTATGATTTGTGCTTTTCGTGTCCTACTTAAAAATCTTTGCCTCACTCTAAGTCTCAAAACAAGGTTTCTCCTATGTTTTTCCTAGAAGTTTTATAGTTTTAGCTTCTACATTTAGGTCTGTGATCCATTTCGAGCTAATTTTTGTATATAGTGCAATGTGAGCTTTTTTTATCTTGATTAATTTATTTTTGGTTATAGATGTCTAGTATTTCCAGTACTGATTTGTCAAAAAACCTATCCTTTCTCCACTAATTTTCTTGGCACCTTTGTTGAAAGTCAATTGCACATACACACACACATCCAGACAACTATTGCTGGCTTTCTATTTTGTTCCATTGATGATTTGTCTGTCATGCAATACTACCCTGTCTTGCCTTTTGTAACTTTATAATAAGCCTTGAGAACAAGTAGTTAGTCTTCTAACTCTGTTCCTCTTTTTCAAAATTGTTTTGGCTATTCTAGGTTAATTTGTGAATTACTACAAAACTTGCTGGGATTTGGATTGGGATTATGTCGAATCTATAGATCAATTTGGGGGAAACTGACATTTTAACAATATTGAGTTTTCTGGCCCATGAACATAGTTTCTCTCTTCATTTATTTATACCTTTTTAATTTTCTCTTGCCAGTGTTTTATAGTTTCAGTATGCAAATCTTGCATACTTTTTGTTAAGGTTTTCCTCTAAGTATTTAATATTTTTTGATACTGTTATAAATAGTGATTTTTTTTCTCATTTCAATTTCCAATTGTTTATTGTTGGTATACACAAATACAATGGATATTCGTATATTTACTGTGTATCCTGAGACTTTGCTAAACTTACTTATTATAGGACCTTTTTGTAGATTACTTAGGATTGTGAGGTACATGTATCATAGGCAAATAAAGACAATTTTACTTCTTCGTTTTCAATCTGTATGCTTTTTATGTCCTTTTGCTGACTTGTTTTACTGGATAATGCCTCCAGTGCAATATTGTATTGCTTTTTATCAGGTTAAGGAAGCTCTCTTCTGTCCCTGGTTTTCTGAGAGTTTCATCCTGAATGGAATTTTGTTAAATACTTTTCTTGACTCTGTAGATACGTTCATGTGATTTTTTTTCTGTTCATGTTGATGTGGTGAATAACTCTGATTGGCTTTGAATGTTGCACCAATTTTGCATTCCTGAGAAAAATTCCACTTGGTTATGTAGCATTATATCTGTTGATTCAGTTTGCTAATATTTTGCTGAAGATTTGGCAACCATATTCATGAAAGACATTGGTTTGTAGTTTCTTTTCTTGTAGCATTTTCTCTTGGGTTTTGATATCAAGTAAATGCTGATCTTATAAAATGAGTTGGGAAGCATTCCCTCCTCTACTATTTCCTGGAAGAATTTGAAAAGAATTAGTATTATTTTCTCCTTAAACACTTGGTAGAATTCCCAGCAGAGTCATTAGGGCCTAGAGTTTTCTTTGTGGGAAGATTTTTAATAAAAAATTTCAATTTAAAAAATATTTGCAGGGCTATTCAGGTTATCTGTTTCTTCTTCTGTAAGGTTTGGTAGTTTTTATGTTTCAATAATTTGCTGCACTTAATCTACATTATTAAATTTATTGGCATAAAGTTATTTATATTAATGCCTTATTTTCCTTTTAGTGTCTGTTGGATTTGTAG